GGTAGATTATTTGCATTAGGAAGCCAGGACCTCCTGCGAGGAGGAGAAATAAGTCCCTAGATGAAGCTTTTTTCCTTGATCTGTAGTTAAGGGAGCTCATTGGTTAACTTGGCACACTCTGCCCCTTCTACCCCTCTCGGAAAAAAGGGACCAAAGGGTCTGAGGTGGAGGAAGCAACCGCGAAACTCAAAGCTGAACTTCCTTGAGGAAGATGGCCGTGGGTGGGTTGGTGACTCAGGTTCTGACAGAGTTCCAAGGTTTTTCTGGAAACTGCGCTGCTTTGAATAGAAGCATTAGCATGGTGTGCCCAGGCTGTGCGAGGTCATTTGTGACTGACACCTGTGTGCAGTTCAGCTGGGATGGATACAAGCAGGGTGCAAGGAGCACCGGCCTCAGCTGGACTGAGAACCACTGGAGGCAGAGTGCCACCGAGAGAAACGACCAGGCTTCAGACCTGGCGAGTGGGTGGTGGCCAAGGACTGGGACAGCTTCTTTCTACTTACATAGCAAATCTAGTCTTTCGTTTTATAAATATTTATTGAGTTCCTATTCTAGACTTCGGGGGATCAAACAACTAGCAAATGACAAAGACGAAAAAAAAAGTCTTTGTGGAGGAAGACAGAAAATGTACATGAGCCAGCTAACATAGCTGGTCTTTGGGAGAGACAGAAAGAACTTGAGCTCTGCTGGGCCTGGTGCACCTGTGGTGGAAGCTACTGGGGTTGCTGAGAGAGGGGGTTCGCAAGTTCAAGGCCCGAGAGACCACGTCACAGCATAAAAACAAGAAGAGGGACTGGGGTATTGCTCTTGGCAGAACAGTGCTTTGTGCTAGGTTCAGTTCCAGTACTGGGGGAAGAGTCAAGACTGTGGATTGAAAGGGTGAGGGGGTACTTGGAGGGGCACCCGAGGAAGAAATGGCTGGAAGGACGGGAGTCAGGAGACACAAAGTAGACACGGTTTCAGGGGCTTCCGTCCTATGGAGGTTTAAGGACAGGAGTCAGGAGACAAAAGCAGACAAGGTTTCAAGGGCTTCCGTCCTGTAAAGGGTTTAAGGCTCCAGTTCAGGCTAATGTGGCTTTGGCTTTTAAATGTGATAGAGATGGACAGCAACTGGAAGGAAAATTTGAGTAAGTAGAAAACAATGGATTCCACTGGGGATTCTTCCCCCCAAAGGTTGTAGTGGCTGCTCTGATCACACTCTCCCCTCCCCAATCCCTTCACTAGCTTCCTTTGCCCTGGGATAAGGTCCTGAGCCCAGCCTGGCTCCACCTTCCTCTGCTTTCCCCTGCCTTCCTCCATTCCAAGCTCTGAGTTCTTGTTCTCTGCTGCTTCCTCCTAGATGCCTTTGCATAGATGCCTCAGATTTTTCTTTCCTTCCTTCCTGTATTCCCTCTCTCCCTCCCTCTCCTTTCTTCCTCTCTCCCATTCCTTTCCTCCCTCCCTCCCTCCCTCCCTCCCTCCCTCCCTCCCTCCCTCCCTCCCTCCCTCCCTCCCTCCCTCCTTCCCTCCCTCCCTCTTTCCCTCCTTTCCTTCCTTTCCTTTCTCTCCTTTTATCTTTTGAAATTTGAAATAAGGTCTCCTGGAAGTGGGGCTGTGGTGGTATGTCTTTCATCCCAGCATTTGGGAGGCAGAGGGCTAGTTTAGTCTCTAGAGTGAGTTCCAGGACAGTCAGGGACACACAGTGAAACCCTGTCTTGAAAAACCAGAAAAATAAAACCCAAAAACCAAACAAACCAAAAAAACTCCCTAGTTCTGGGCCTACAGGTGGGTATCATCCCATTATCCCGTTTTGTTATCTGCAGAGCTGGGATTGACCCCAGTGCTTTGGGTATGCTGGGCCGACACCACCCTACCAACTGAGCTATATGCCAGGCTTTCTCTCTCCTGTGTGTGCGCGCATGTGTAGGTGTGTGCATGCACATGTGTGTATGTGTGTGTATGTATGTGTGTGCGTGTGTGTATAGATGTGTAGTCCTGTATGTAGATGGAGGCCTGAGGCTGAGAAGCCAGTAGTTTTCATTGCTTTCCACCTCGGTCATTGGCAGCCTCTCACTGGTGACTAGACAGGCTGGTCAGAGGTCCCAGGGACCCCCCCCCTTTCTTCCCCGTCATTGGGCTTGCTGAAGCTGGCTTTTTATGAGACTGCTGGGGATTGAATCTAAGCCCTTAATTTTAGGACTCCCTAGACCTTTGAAAAACTTTTCTGAGCCTGCTCACACGAAGTGGCTCAGGTTGGCTTTGAACTCGTTCTGTAGCCCAGGCAGGTGTGACCTTGAGGTCTTCCTGCTTCTGTCTATTGAGATCAAAGGCCTGAACCACCAGGTCAGAAGTAGTCTGTATTTAAAAATGATCCCACGCTATGAGAGGATAATGAGTCTTCTTTCACTCGAATATATTTGAGAGTAGGGTGTATGGCTGTCAGGTCTACAGTGGCTAGGAGCTCACTATGTAGCCCACGCTGGTCTTGGACTCTGGACAATCACCTCCTGCTCAGGCTCTGGAGTTCTAGCATTATAGGAGTGAGACACTACATCCTGTTTTTAATTTTAAATGAACTTAACAAAAAACTGCTACTTGACAGTTTTGAAAGATTATCTGTATGTTCCAGTTCAGAATGGATTTGAGGGAAGGAGAACACGGATGTTAGGTTAGGAGACAGCAGGTTAATGAGGAGGAGGGCTTGCACTAGTGTTTACTTGTTTAGCAAGCGTTATTAGAAAGCTTCTAAATTAGATACCATATTTAGCCATTGGCAAGGCAATGGTTAAAAGAAAAAGTGACAGAAATCCTTTCTGGAATTCATAGGAAAGAGGGTGGGGCAAACCACCCAGCTGAGGGGGGAAGTCCTCAGCTCCAGCCTCTTCACAAGTGTAGCAACCACAAAAACAAGGGAAGTCTTCCATAGGAGGTTACAGATATGCTAGCAAAAGTTCTGAAAATTCAGTTCTAATGGAATATTTTCTTTGAGAGATTTCTCTAGTATTGCCACTTTTTTGTATTGATTGTACAGTTTTTTTTAAAATTTTTTATTATTGCCTTAAAAAATACAAAGTAAATGCTAAGGAAAAAAAGCAATGGCTCTGCCGCCGGCCTGTTTTTGTCTGTAGACGATAACCTTGAACCCCATTCTCTTGCCTCTATCTTCCCAACGCAGGTATTCCAGGCTTGCCTTGCCATTCCCATTTCTTGCGCATGCCTTTTCTAAAATCAGACATTGTTTTTTTTCTACTTTGACTTTTCACTGAGAATCCTCTGCCTTGAAGAAAACACCCACCCATCATGGAAGAAGCATTATGGGTGGCCTTGAGGCATGCTAACCCCTTTCACTTTTGAAGACTTTCTACACAATCCTCTTCTGTTTGAAAGGCAGTAGGCTATAAAGGTGTAATATGCACACAGTACCTACACCCCCTTTACCCTGCCCTAGATGCTGCAACAGAAAATGTGTGTGGAGAAAAACATCAGCAGGAAGCTCAAGGGAAGAAAGCAAAGGGCACTTCCATTAGAGAGAGAAAGGTGCTTGGGTTGCGGTAACGTTACATATTTGTTCAGAACAAAAGGAACCAGGCAAAACAGGTTGTAAACATAGGTTGCAGAATGCTGGGTTGCTTCAAAAGGTTAGCTGAGTTGCTTCCTGGGGCGGGGGTGGGGATGGGGTGGGGGTGGGGGAATAGACGAGGAGAGAAGGGGTGGAGACTAAGGCTTTGCTCTATAACCTTGCTCACGTCACCGAAACTTGTTTAAACCCTTGTCTTAGCATGAGTTTGGACTATGCATCAGTAAGATTCTTTCATCTCAAATTCCATGGTTCTATGATTACGTGGGTGGAAATGGACCATTCTGTCGATTTCCTAGTTTCCAAGAGCGAAGAAACTAGCTTGGGTGTGGAACTAACTCGATGGAGAATTATCATCTTAGAGGTGGGCAGCTTCCCAACCACCGTGGTGGTGCGCCTGGGAAACTTCCAACAGACCTTCCCTCATTCTTTGACACGGTGTGACAAGTCTCCTGTTGTCTTGGAATGGGGGAGCGGGAAGGACCTATTTTAGACCGAGACGGTTCATGTGGCTAACCATTTTCACTTCTCGTTGTTTTTAAACTCCTAAAATGCCAAGAGACAGATTCTAAAGGGGTGGGAAGGGACATTAGCATGGGGCGACCTGGAAAGGCCTGTAAAATCCTGCTTCCGCGTCTGAACCGCTTCTTTGGATATTGGGATCGTCCCCTGAAAGTGTATTTTTGGCAGAGTGGGAGCCGAGTCAGGCTCAGAACTGCAGAGGAGGGCTGACGGAAGCTATTCCTGCTGGAGGGGTGGCGTGAGAGCTCGGGGTAGGATCTGCGCGGGCCGCCGGGCGGGCAGCGAGCGTCAAGGGCGCGGCCGCGGGCGGACCCCGGGGAGGGGCTTCGCGGAGGCGCCGCGGCCCTAGGCGAGCGGGGCCGCCCGGGCTCGGCGCGCAACGCGGCCGAGCGGGCGGTGGCGCTGCGGAGGCGGCGGCCGAGGCCGGCGGGCGTGGAGGAGGGGCCCGAGATCGGGGCGGGCGGCCCGCGGCAGCTGCCCGGGTGACGACTGCCGGCAGCGCGGCGCCCAGAGGAGTCCAAGCCGCAGGCCCCCGGCGTCGCGGCCTCGCGAGCGGCTCTCCTCGTCCTTGTCTCAACCTCGCTCGGCGCTGGGGACATGGGCCCTCGCCGCCGCGGGGCCCGCATCCCGAGCTGCCCGTAGGCCCCAGTGGCCCGCCGGCTTGTCACCGCCCCTCTCCCCCTGTCGAGCCGTCCCCACCCCAGGTCCCCGGGAAGGAAGATGAGGGAAACGGGCCCGGCGATCGGCAGCCAGAGCAGCAGCAGCAGCGGTCGGGGGAGGGTGTTTCGCCGTTTCCTCTCAGCCGCCAGGACAAGATGGCAGCGGCCGCCGAGAGGGGCTGAGCCCCGGCTGGGTGGCGCCGCCTGCTGAAGCGCTTGGCTCCGGGTCCCCGCACGGCCCCCGCGACCCATCCCGGACATGCTCAGGGCTGCGGCCGCCCGAAGCGGGGAGAGCGCGGGCCTCTAGGAAGGTAAGGGAGCCGGGCGAGGGCGGGGAGCTCGGCGGCGGCGACGCGGGGCCTCGGGGCCGGGGGAGGGGGGGAGCCCTCGGGGCGCCGCTGCTCCGTTTCCGCCCGGTTGACGACGGCCGTCCCGGGCGGTTCCCGAAGCCGGCGCCACGCCAGGCCCGAGGCGGCCGGACGCGGGGACCGCGCGTGCTCTTCGCGCGCTTGGCGCAGCCTCCGGGAAGCCGCCCTGGCCGCGCCGGGCGGTCTGGGCCTCCCCCACCCCCCGCCCTCAAGCCGAGGTTGCGCAACGGCTCTTCCCAGCAACCGAAGTTTTGTTTGGTCCCCCGGGGGGCCCCCCGGTTGGGCTCCGCGGCTTTAGGCCGTCACGACGGAGACCTCGTTCCTTTTCATTGATGGGAGCGAACACCGCGGTGCACGCACGCTGCCGGAGCGCCCAGCCCCGTGGCTGCGCCCCGGAGGCTTGGGGGCCCTGGCACCGGCGTCGCGGGGCGGCGGGGTTGGAGGGTGTCAACTCCGGGGACGTGCGTGCGTGTGATTGTTGGGGAGGAGAAATGTGATCCGCGGCTCCGCGTCCCCAGCGGCGGCGGGAGGAAGGCGTGGCGGCCGCGCGGCGGGGCTGTTGCCGGCTTCTCTCGTTACGGCGGCGGCGGCGGCGGCCCTCTTCCCTTCCTTCGCGCTGGGGGAGAGCTCAGCGGAAAGGACTCGGGACCAGAATGTCTGTTTTCCTGTCTGGGGGGAGACGGCTCTTGTAAAATGGTACGTGGATCTCGGGGGGAAGCCTGTTGTTTCCCATTCTCCCCGGCGCTGGAGGGATCGCGCCGAAGGGTGTGTGCGTAAATTACCGTGGACCTGTTACAGAGCAGTCACAACACGTTCGGTCCTTGAACCGTGTTTTCACAACCTCTGGCTGGCCTGCTAGGGAATTTATTTTTCCACCTGTCAGTTCGCTGCTTATAAGGAGCTTCAATTAGCAGCAGCAGCAGCAGCAGCAGCAGCAGCAGCAGCAGCAGCAGCGGGGTTTTTTCTTTTCTTTTTTTTCTTTCAGGTTTCAGATTAGGGCCCAGTTTACAGGGAAAACTCAGGGTTTTACCGTCAACTTTGTTTTGATGTCTTTCTGGTACAGGGCTGGAAAAGTTAGCTGAAGAACCAGTCTTCGTTTCTATGTACCTCCGAGTTGTTTAGAGATCTGCTGATTTTTATTTTTCTGTTTTCTATTTTAGGTTTCTGCTGTAAACTACAGCCTCTGAAGTGTAGGTACTTCAAACAATTTCACTTAATTTTAAGATTTTAATTGCTGGGTGCTTGAAAATTTTTAAAGAGTTTTTTTTTTCCTCTGACCAGATTATGAAAACATTTCTAGGTCTGTTTTTTTTTTTTATTTTTTGCTATTGTTTACCAAGAAAAATATTTTAATGCTTCAGCCTCATTTACTATATCAGAAACTGGGCAAGTCTCGCCATATGTTTGATAAGTCTAGATTCTGCTTAGGTTTGCAAGTGCAGTGCTAATTTTACACAATGAGCAACGATAAGGGTTAGGTCATGATTAAGCTTCAGTATTTTAAGTAAACAAAATATGACTGACCTTAATTTTTTTTTGTATTGATTCTTCTGTCTTCATGTTACTTACCATTAATTGAAATTTAACCAAACAACCCACATTCTTTTTTTTAAACCAACAAGGTATTTCTTGGTATATTTATGATTGCATTCATAAAGCATAGGGAACTTTATTTCATTTGTGAAATTTAGTGTTTAATCTGTGTCAGTTTATTTCTCTTGAGTTATTTTGACTATTTTTAATTTGTTATAGTAGAGATACGTAGGCATGTCTGACTTTCCAGTGTTGGTTATTTCATTGTGTTTTGGGGAGAATTTCCTAGTATAGGTAGTACATTCACAAAGAAAAGTATTTCGGAGGATAGATGGAGGGGAAAGCACCACCTGTTTAAACAGGTAAGATGAGCTCGAAGTCTAGAACAGAACTGGCCATTAAATGTTTTAAATTTATATTTGGACATTGCTGACTACAGTAGCTGAACATACGAATTAGGCAAGCAGATCATAACATGGTGAGACAGTTCTTAGCATTTTGTCGTAATGCGTTTTCCATTGAACTAGTCATTATCTTGTTTATAAACCAGCCATTGGCTTCTGGGCATGGGGTTTTCAGAGTCTCATCAAAGTAGATGGTTGCTATGAGATAATTCTTGTAAACGTGCTTGAGAAGAGGCTGAAGATTATACTCTGTTAATTTTTTGGATGGTCTGTCATAGGATACCATAAAGTAGGTTGCAAATTACAGAGGTTGGCTGCTGTAGCAAGCATAGCACTTGACACATAGATGTATGTTTAATGGCGGTGCTGTAGGCTTGCTTCCCTGCAACTTCAAAAGGCATTAGCTGTCAAACGATCTTCCTGATTGAATTTTTGTTTTTAAATATTTGCTGCATGAACACTGGAGGCATATGGAAAAGAGGAAGGAGGAAAATGTCAACCTTACAATGTGGAATTGTTAATAAAATATAATTCATGCATATTCATTTAAATGAAATAATTACGTCTATGTTGCAATGATTTACTTCATTAACTTTTTTTTTTTTTTTTTTTTTTTTTTTTTTTTTTTTTTGTTTTTTCGAGACAGGGTTTCTCTGTGTAGCTTTGGAGTCTGTCCTGGGACTTGCTCTATAGACCAGGCAGGCCTGGAACTCACAGAGATCCATTCACCTCTGCCTCCTGAGTGCTGGGATTAAAGGCATATGCCACCACTGCCGGGCCTCCCTTATTAACTCCTGAAGTTAACTTTGTTTCTTTGAGGTCGAGGAGTTAGCCTCCCAATAGTTTTCATTGTAGCCGATTATCCAGTATGATAAAGCAGATGAAAATTGACCTGTTGGTTGATTCAGGGGCATAGAAACATTGTTTCCATGTCAGCTTCTCCTGGGCTTGGATGGGAAAAGATGTCATGACAGTGCTTTAAGGCTGTTCCAAGAACTTGGAAATTCTCTATTTAAAAACAAAACAAAACAAGCAAAAAAAAAAAAAAAAAAAAAAAAAACCAACAACAACCCAAAAAACCGCCTTCCGCAAATTGTTGTGCTTTGATTATTAGAACACACAGGCTAATTTGATACATGCTTATATTATTGCTGCCAAAGTAAACATTCCTGCTGTAAAATTTGTGGGTTGCAGCTGTCCTGGTTTCTTAATGTCCAGAGTTCAGGCTTAGTGTTGCTTAAGTTGGAACCTACTTCTGAAGAGGGACTACAAGAGCTTTGTTAGAAGGAGGAATCGGTGTTTGTTTAAAAGTACGGCCCCTCCTCCACTTTAACTAGGATGTAGTATTATTTCTCTCTGTGGGAAAAAGGAACTTTCTCAGCAGACTTCTGTCAGAACCAGCAACGTTTGAATGTGATGAAATTATAAGGTGAAAGGAATTATACTAAATGTCCTTACTGGTTTTAGACTCATCTATTTAAAAGTAATAATCTTCCCTAGTACCTTTAAAAGGTTATAACTTGAAGAAGAATACGTTTTTGGAGCAGAAGTTTTGAGCTACGTTAGGTTATTTATGTTATTCTTTTTGGTTTTTCCAGACAGGCGTTCTCTGTGTATCCCTTACTGACCTGGGACTTGCTCAAAATCAGAGTTGGCTGGCCTCAAAATCAGAGTTCTGCCTGCCTGTGCCTCCTCAGCGCTGGGATTAAAGGTGTACACCACCATTGGCTTATTTATTAAATTTTTAGCAGAGTCCTGTGTGGTCAACTTAAAGAGGTTGTTAATTGCTTTCTGGTTGGCCTGGTTTCAGTCAGAATAGTATGGGGAAAGCAACAGTAGAGTGCTTCTGTACAGCTCTGCTCTAGTTGTTCTGTTAGATCTCAGTCACCTGTAAGACCGAGGTAGACTGGACACAGTAAGGAGGTGTATGTTATACATATATTGTATTTAAGTATTGGTCAAAGTAGGTGTTGAGTTTCTTAGGAGACCAGAGGCCCTCTCATTTGATACTTGCTGTCACTAAACAAAGGTCACATAGTTGCCTCTATGCTGAGACACCAGGGTGGGTGCTGGAGACCTAGGAGCTACTCATGTCTAAGTGAAAAGAGCCAGAAGCATGCTGATAATGTCCAAATGATATTGCTAGGGCTACTTTGTCTTAGCAGATTTACTTCATCTTCATTTTGTGTTTTGAACTAGGGTCTTATGTACTCAGGCTGGCAGTGAACTCTTGATTTTCTACTGCTCAGGTAATACCAGGAGGTCTGGCTAGTTTAAAATCCAAACCAAACCAAAGTAATAACAAAACAGCACAAACACAAACTAGTATAAAAATTCATTAGTTCTGAGATTACAGTTATTTAAGCCCTTTAAAAAGTTTCACATTACAGGCTTCTCTGAAATCGAACGGGCAAAGAGCATTGAGTTTAATGTGCTAATTATAATTAGAGTTTGGCCTACAGGATTTATATTTTGTTTTAAAAGATTCTTAAAAAGAAATGTCAAGGTACATATGAAACTCTATAAATCTTGTTTTTTTCAGATTAAATTAAAAGCCGGGCTTCTGATACCGTCACACAGTCCACTTCCTAAGGCAGACAGACATGCATTTATTTATATCTGTCTATCCTGGGAGTGAGCCCAAGATCTCACATTCAGCATGTTGTCTATAACTGAGTTGTACCCCTAGTTTAATCATCTGTTTTTATTTATATAAATTTTATTATTTTATTTTCTGTGTATTGTGCACTACTTGTGTGCCTGGTGCTTGTAGAGGCCAGGATAGGGGCATAGAATCCTCTGGAACTGGAGTTATGTATGGTTATGAGCCACCATGTGGTTGCTAGGAGTTATACCTGGGTCCTCTGGAAGAACACCCAATGCTTTAGCTGCTGAGCCACCTCTCCAACCTACCTCCTGTTTTTGTATGGAGCAGGGTCTCACTGTTTTTCCGCTCAGGTGGGCCTTGAACTCTAATCCCCGTGCTTCTGTGTCCCTGGTGCCGGGATTACCAGTGCTAGCATACTTGACCTCTTGTCAGAGACTCCTCTAGTCCAGGCCGACCTCAAACTTGTGTTCCCTTCTCTTTCCACCTCAGCACTCTACCCAGCTTAAGCATTTCTTTCACTTGTTTTTCTTTTCTTCCTTTCTTCCTCCCTCCCTCTCTTTCCTTTCCCTCCCTCCCTCCCTCCCTCCCTCCCTCCCTCCCTCCCTCCCTCTTTCTCTCTCTTCCTCTTTCCCTTCCTAAGGGAACTCACTAAGTAGACCAGGCTAGCCTCAAACTCAAAGAGATCTACCTGCCTTTGCTTCCACTGCACTCAGCTTCTTTTTTTTCAAATGGCTAGATTTCCAGGTTCATTTTTACTTTGTGTTTTCTTTGATCTTATCCTTTAAAAAAATGGAGTGTGTGTATGTGCGTGTGTGTGTGTGTGTGTGTGTGTATGTATGTATGTATGCACACGTGCACACGTATACCTACATGTATTGGCATGTGTTTGCCATAGCACATGTGTGGTGGTCAGTGGATAACCTTTAAAAGGTTGTACTTCAATCACAAGATCCTATAGTCAAGCTCAGGTCTTCATGCTCCTCCCTTCCCCCACTCTTTAATAAGCAAAACCAAAAGGATTATCATTTTTAAAAACGGTGATTTAGCATAGGGGAGAATAATAAAAGGAAGTGTATTACTCATTTGAGCTATAACTTTTTTTGTTTGGGCAAAGATTTAAGTTGTCGAGGACTGATTTTTTTTTAAATCATTCTTTTGACCATTTACAATTATTAGGCAATCATAAAATATTTTTATAATATACATAAGAAAAACCACATTTAGATGAGCAACAAATATAACAGCAGGTGATAGAATTTAGTGTTTATAAATGAAACCATCAATAGCAGTCAGAGAAGAAATACAAGCTGTGTTTAAAAACTGAAGCCATGCGTTTCATTATTTCCAAATCACAAGAAGGTATTGGACTTTTAAAGGTAACATGGCCTACTATTTCAGTCATCTCAAAACACTTCTAGAAACTGGAGGACTGATTTTTGTTTTGTTTTGCTTTTAGAGACAAAGTTCTCTGTGTAACCTTAGCTGTCCTAGAACTCCCAGGCTGGTCTCGAACTCACAGAGATCCTCCTGCCTCTGCCTCTGAGTGCTGTGATTAAAGGCGTGTACCACCACTGCCTGATCATTTCTTCTAATTAATTAAAAAAATTAGTTTGAAGTCAGACTGGTCTACATAGTTCCAGGACAGCCAGAACTACATAATGAGACCCTGTCTTGAAAAAAAAAATTAAATTTTGTTTTATGTATATAAATCTTTTGCCTGCATGTATGTAAGTTGTGTACCTGGTGTCTGCAGAGTCCAGAAGAGGGTGTTGGATTCCCCTGAACTGGAGTTAAAGTTTGTGAGATGCCACATGAGTGTTGGTAACAACCTAGGTCTTCTGCAAGGATGGCAAGTACTCTTAATTGCTGAGCCATCTCTCCAGCCCCAAAGACTGATTTTTAGTGTAATTCTTGGTTATACTGAATGTCAAGGGTTGCTATGGTTAGTCACATGTATTTCCCCTCCTCCTAGTAATTTTATGCTGGAGAGCATTTTCCACTTTGAAAAATTTGATGCATATGATGAGAGTTGCATTAATCAAATTAGGCTGGGGATGTATCTCCATTGGTAAAGTGCTGCCTAGCATCCATGAGACGCTGTCAGTAGTTCATCATACCAGAACACAGTAGTACATGCCTGAAATTCCAGCAGCAGCAGAGGTGGAGGCTAGAGGATCAGAAGTTGCACATTGTCCTCAGGTACACAGTGAGTGAGTTCAAAGCCAGCGTGGGCTATGAAAAAGAATGACATCTGTAGAATATGTGTCATTTAACCTTTAGTTTTATTATTTTTATGTAGTTTATTATAAATAGTATTTGATTACATAAAGATTGCCAAGAAAATTTTCTGAAGGTTTGATAGAAAATACAAAACCTATCTATATTTAAAATGCTTATAATTTTTTTCTCTCCTTTTTCCTCTCTCTCTCTCTTTCTGTCAGGATAGAACTGTAGTTCAGAGTATCCTAAAATTTGCTGTATAACTGAGGCTAGCTTTGAACTTATGGTCATTATCTTGCCTCAGTTTATAAGTGCTGATATATTCTAGGTATGGGCTACCAAACCTGGCTAACTTGAGATTCCTTAATACCTTCATACTTGGTTGGGTTCATAATTTTTTACAAGCTATTTTAGAGCTTTTATGAACAAAATAATAAACTTTGAAGCATTTGCAGGTAGTTAATTTGCTTACAAAATGTTTTCTAGTTTTGTATGTTTCTATTATGTTCTGTTTTGTTTTCCTTTTTTGAGACAGGGTTTCTCTGTGTAACCCTGGCTGTCCTGGAACTTCTCTGTAGACAGGCTGGCTTTGAACTCAGAGGTTTGTTTTCCTCTGCGTCCCTAGTCCTGGGATTAAAGCATATGCCACCACCACCCAGCTATTATGTGCTGTTTAATAAGACAGTCTTGTAGTTTGGTAAAGCATATGGCTGTAGATATACAATGCTACAGTTTAAATACTTAATAGGTTAGAGTGATAACATTGAAAGTTGGGTATTGTGTTCAAGACATTACTTCCAAAGTATAATTTAAAATAATTCTGAGAGCTTTAAATGTATAATTAATTGAGATTAAATAGAGTGTAATGACAAAATTGCAAAGAAAATGACAGGTTATACAGCTGTAGAGCCAGAAGCCATGATGCTATTCATCACTGCTTCTTTTATAGTGTAGGCTGGCTTGAACTTTGTTTTTTCCTTCCTTCCTTCCTTCCTTCCTTCCTTCCTTCCTTCCTTCCTTCCTTCCTTCCTTCCTTCCTTCCTTCCTTTTCTTTCTTTTTTTTCTGAGACAATGTGTCTCTTCATAGCCCTGGATATTCTGGAACTCTCTTTGTAGATCAGGCAGTCCTAGAACTCACAAAAGATCCATTTGCTTCTGCCTTCTGAGTGCTGGAATTAAAGATGTGCACTCTTATGCTTGGCTTCATTTGAAAAAAGAAAAAGTGTGTGTGTGTGTGTGTGTGTGTGTGTTTGAGACAGGGTGTCTATCTATAGTCTTGGCTGTCCTAGAACTCACTGTGTAGGTTAATCTGCCCTAGAACTCACAGACATCCACCTGCCTCTGCCTCCTGAGGACTGGGATTAAAGGTGTGCTGTCCTGTGCCCAGTTATGTTACACCCTTTAAAACATATTTTTACTAATTCTTTGAGACTTTCATACTCTTTTCCTTGAGACGTGTCTCACCATTTGATTCTGGCTGACCTGGAGGAACTCACTGTTTAGATCAGACTAGCTTAAGACTTTTGCTTCTTGCCACCCCTCACTGTTCCCCCCGTGTCCCACCATGCCTGGCCAGACCATGTATTTTGATATTTTGATGATGTTTATCCTCTGTATTTCCTTTAAGTCATTCCAGATCCATCCCTACTTTCCTGTTCCCGCCAACTTCATGCCTTTTTTTTCCTCATCAGGTCTAAACCGTATATGCCTGAGTATGGAGCATAATATTCTTAAAACAACATGAAAAAAAAAAACATACTTTTGTGTCAATTCTAGCCAGTTTTGGTAGAAATAGTATAAATATTAGTTGTAAATATAAAATCAAAAAATAATTATTCCAAGTCCCAAAATAATTGGGTTTGTAATCTCTTTAGTCTATTTTAATTGCTTTTTTGGGGGGTAGCCGAATTATAAATTTTGAGTATAGAAAAATGAAATATTGTTATAGCTGGTAAAATATTTTACATGTTTGGTTGTCAACTGTATTCTCCATCTGGTATCATCATTTCTCCTGCTTAAAAAAATTATAGCTGGGTATGGTACCTCAAATCTTTAATCTCTTTAATCCCAGCATGTAGAAGGCACAAATATTTAATCCCAGCATGCGGGAGGCTGAGGCAAGTGAGCTCTCCTGGCCTATGCAGTTCCAGGCCAGCCGGGGCTACAGGGTGAGACCTGTCTTCAAAAATTAAAACCAAGAAAAAACACAGAAAATCCTCATTATTTATTTACCTACTTATTGTGTGTGGTGGTGGTGGGAGGCAGATGTTCATACCAAGGCTCATGGGTGGAGGGCAGGGGATAGTTTCCTGGAGTCTTTCAGTTCTGGGGATTGAGCTCAGGTTGTGAAAACTTTAAATCTGGGGGCTGGAGAGATGGCACAGTGGTTAAGAGCATAGGCTGCTTTCCAGAGGACCCAGATTCAATTTTCATCACCTACATGGCAGCTCACAACTGTCTGTAACTCCAGGGGATCTACATCCTCACACAGACATATACAGCAGGCACAATGCCAGTGCATATGAAATAAAGTAAGTAAGTAACAAAAACTTGAAATCTAAAAAAGCTTATTTTTGGTGGTGGTTTTAGTAAAATTTGTGCAGTTGTTCTTTCCAAGATATTATCATGCCCCCTCTCTGGATATATGCTAAGGAAAGGATATCAGGTACTTTATAATTCTAACAAGTGGGGAAGACAGTCCAATAAGTTATACATGCAGAAAGTAGGCTGCTACCCTGTTACTTAAAGTAATAGGACTAAGGCTCAGGGTTCATTGAAAAGGGGATGGGAAGAATGGAAGAGTCAGCCACATTGGGGGTTGGTTGTGGAGCCC